TTTCCTTATGTTTCTCTCCATTGCTGGGGAGAGACCTTCACGTGTAAGATCTATATGCATGTCTGCTGCTTTCCTTTTCTCTCTACAAATTATTCCTCAATACCTGGTCCCTGACTCACCACTTTACCAAATTATTCTCTGCAAAGCTCCAGTGATGTTCAGTACCCAAATTCAACAGCATTCTTAGCAGCGGACCCTCTGCAGACAGCTGCCCTGAGGGTCCGCTCTGCTTCTTCGACCCTTTCTCTGGTGTCTTCTGAGAGCTTGGTTACCCGGGTTTTCCTCCTGCCCCAACAATGCTAGTTCTTAGGCTGCTTTGCTGGCTGCCCTTCCTTCTTCCTGCCCCCTAAATATAGCCTATCCCAAGGTCTAGCCTGCAACCCTCTCCACTCTCTGTACTTTCTCTCTTGGTGATCTCACTCAAACTTTGGCTTCAATATTCTTGTTCATGAGTGTGACTCCCAAATTTACCTATGGTCTCTGTTCTCAAAGAGCACCCAGCTAACAGTGGACACCCTGAGCTCTCTGAGCTCTAGGACCACAATTCTGCCCACTGGGATGTGTTCACCCATCAAGTATCCAAAACCAAACCCACTTATTCTCTGTCCTTCCAGCGGAAAGCCTGTTACCTTGCCCTCCATAGTACATGGTTTCCCCATCTGACAGCTGCCCAGGCTCAACTTTTGGGGCCCTATTTCTACCCACACATACATCTGGGAAATTCCTAGTTCTGGAAGGTACCATTTATACATTCTTTCCTCCATCTCCTCCCTCTTTTCCGTGCCCTCGGCCACTCCTAGAGTGTTAGGCCTTGCTGACTTGCCTTTGGAGTCTGCACAGCCTCCTCCCTTGGTGCCCTGCCTTTTCTCTTCCAGCCTCCTCCATCTCTTGACCAGCTAAGCTTCAGATCTGCCCCTTCACCTTCAGTGGCTCCCTAGTGCCTCTGAGTCAGTTATGAGCTCCTCAGCCTCAGAGTGGGGGCCTTCTACATTATTACTTTCCTGATCTTATTTTTCCATATCCACAGCCCTCATACTCCAGGAAAACTGGCTTATTTCTTGTTCTCCAAACGAGGGCTCTCCTTATTCGGGTCGTTGCTCGAGCTACTCCTGCTCCCTGGGAAGACCCAACCCCAGCCCTCCTTTCTGTCTGTAGAATCCTACCAATCATTCACACCTATTCTAAATGCCATTTTCTCTAGAGAGACTAGCCTAATTCCCTTGATCTCCCGTGTTTGCTCCCTCCTTCACATCCTTAGAGCTTTTTAACTGTAACTCTCTTATAAGCTGGGACGAAAAACACTTGTTCTCTCTTGACACTGTCCTTCATCTATATGACATTCTGCAGTCTGTCCTCTCAGCCAGGTGGTTCTTCACAAGGCTCTACCCACATGGCATTTTTAGAAACTGAATTTGTTTTGGTTCCATTTTAGGAAGTGGCACTTATATGATGCTTGTGTTTTCAATCATAAGATTAACCCTCACTTCAAACGGGGAATTACCAATGCAGCAGTGGCTGGGCCTTCCTGGGTCCCGCTTCTGTGAACACTTTTGAATTTAGCAGCATTTTTTGTGACTTCCTGAGCTAACCATAGCTACAAGCGAAACCTGGCTGCTTTGCATGTGCTTGGGGGCCTTCCAGGCAGGTGGTTCTTCTGGAACATTCCAGCTAGCTTCATCCCTGTCAAACTCACCTCTCCCTCACCACACAAGAGAGGCCAGGCAGGTGTGTAAAAGGGAATCCAGTCCAAATGGGAACTCTCCATGTACTCATGAGGCCCACAGCTTTCTGCCTGGGGGTTAGAACTCAGCAAGCCTATTGGGTGAGAAATGGGCCATGCAGTGCCTACTTCAAAGCCACCACAAGTCTGGGCAGGAACCGAAGGAGGATGTGAACTGTGGAGGCTGAGATGCTGAGGAGAAAACTGAGAGCTGACTGGACAGTGGCTCCCAGGGGACAGGGGTGAGGTGCCCCTGCTGGGGGGTGGCCAGCATAGCTGCTGGCTGCGGCTGGGCCCCGTTCCATGCACAATGCAAAGGAAGACTATACGGGAAACACTTCCCACTGCTGAAACTCATGAAGGTGGAGGATCTTATCACTCAGAGGCAGAGAGAGAGAGAGAGATACACTGGGAACTGAAATCTGTTACCATTCTGCTGCTCTATGGGCCAAACAATGAATCGGAGGGCTTTCAAGAGCCCCCCACCCCAGCCCATCCCAAGGCAGGGCAATAGGAAGTAGTGGCTGAGGGTGGAGCGTGGCTGAAGAACGTATTCTCCAACCTACCCCCAGCACCCATGACTTTGATCCACCATGTGTGGGCCAAACCACAGTCATCACCAGGCCAGCTGGCTGGGGACACCTGTTCTGGTCCAGCTCTCTCCTGTCACAGACAGAGGCCCAGAGGGGTTAAGAGGTATCTGAGGTTGCACAGCCAGTTTTGGGGGAGATAGAGACTCAAGTCCAAGCCTCTTGGTAGCCAGGCCGTGACTCTTTCCATTTAACCCCTCCACCTCTCGGGTTGAGGCAAGAATGAGAATACCCGGAGGCTTTTAACAAGACAGAAGAAAACGAGTTCCCTGTGCATCTGCAAACACAGGCAAGAGAAGCAAAGGGAACGTAAGTGGCTCCTGTAGATGTTCGTTGGAAATCTGCCACTATGACCCAAAGGGCCAGTGGAAGTTCAGGGAAAAGTTCAATCCAGGGTTGAGAAAACAATACAGTTAATTTTTTCAAAACCCTCAGCAGAGTTGAGAAACAGTGTGTTCCAAAACAAACAAAATCTCTTGACTGAGTGACATATTTTTTATTCATTTCATTGTTTTTGACCTTACTGTTAACTCAAGGCTTTTAAAAAACAAAACAAAACCCAAAGCTGTTATTGTTCAAAATGCAGTTTCCAAGAGAGTAAAAATTAGTCTTTTTGTTTGTTGGTTTGTTTTAATGCCCTAAGCCAGAGCCTTCTCTAACCTTGGATCAGGGTCTCCCCAATCTATTTGTGAACTATTTGTTCAGGGAATAATTTTCTCTGTGGCTCTAGAAAGGTAGGCAATCCCTGAGCGAGGCTTTGCCTATCTGCAGTTGGGGGTTGGTCCCAGGTCTATGGAATGGCTCAGAGGCAGGACCCGCCTCCCGTCCGTCAGGAGCCAAGAAGCCATCCCTGGTAAGCTCAGTCAGGCACCTGGTCACTCTCAGCAAGTAAGTCCAGATGGATGAAACAACTATGGGGCCTATAACAGCCTGGGAGCCCAGAGCCTTTGGTCTCTGCAGCGAGAGTACCTGCGAGGCACCGCAGTCCTTTGGGTCCTGACACTAAGAAAGAGATTTCTGCCTTCATGACTATGTGGACACTTCAGTGGGCTTGGAGGGAGCCTACCAGACCCAAAGATGCCTCGTTCCTTCGTCCACCCTGAAGAAAGTGGCTATTGCAAGAAGGCCTGGCCAGTCGTAGCCCCCCAACATCCCACTTGTAAGCTGCTGGGGTGCGTCTAGAGCTGAAATGCCTTTCCAGGGAGCCTCGTCCACCGACACTGGACTTCTTTTAATGCATATTCTGCTCTTGTGTCCTAGCTCGGTTGGTGCCAACACTCTGGGGGTATCAAAACACCCTTACCTGAGCCAGGCTCATCTTCCCCAGGTTCCTTCTCATCTCCGACCCCCATCTTACACCCCCCACTCCCCCACCCCCCCACCGCAGCCCTCTCTGCCTCCGTCTCTTGCTGCTTCCTCCTCCCCTGTTCTCTTTCCCTGACTTGGGTGGAGTGTGGACCTTTCTGATCCTTTGCCAATCTGGTCATCTTTATGCCTCTTCTCTGCTTCTCCATTCCTGACCCACCAAACCTGAATCTCTAACCAAACCTCCACCCTCCATCCTCAGCCAAACCTGAAAGTCAACACCCTTCCATGAGACACCCTGAATCTTGCCCCTCCTTTGAAGCTTTCTCGACTGATGCCCACCATCAGTACCCCTCCTCATGTGTTCTGTTCATTCCCTTTCCTTCTCTGTGGGATATGCTGGGGAAATGGCAGTGATGCCCAACATGGCCTTTGTGCAAATCCCAGGTCACCACCCATTCGTGGATTGCAACCCACATTAAAAAGAGAAAAAGAAATATAATAGAAAATATTGCAGTGCATCACCTATGGTAAGAGTAAGTATTGTTTCATTTATAGTTTCAGTGTGTGTTTGTTTCAAGTATCAACATAAAAGATATTTCTTACTGTGGGTTGCAGCCTAAACTAGTTTAAAAGTCCCTGATCTACCAAAGAACCAACCTGAAGGCTGAAGACACATTATTGAAAGTGAAGAGAGTGAGAAGTGGTTAAAGAAATTTGCATCATGGAAGCTCAAAGGGCCCTGTGATTCCTCCTTCTAAGGGCTGCAGGAGGACACCCATCCTCCTGACTGGCGGCCTAGAAACTGCCACATTCACGCTCAGCACTCTGACTCAAATTTGCATATAAATCAAAGACTGGGGGTGCCTGGGAGACTCAGTGGGTTAAGCATCTGCCTTCAGCTCGGGTCATAATCCTGGGGTCCTGGGATCGAGCCCATCGTCATCATCATCATCATCATCATCATCATCATCATCGGGCTCCCCGCTCAGTGGGGAGTCTGCTTCTCCCTCTCCCTCTGCCCTTCCCCCCCACTCCTGTGCTCTCTCTTTCTCTCTCAAATAAATAAATAACATCTTTAAAAAAAAAAATCAAAGACTGAAATCTTAATTCATTGTAATCGAGATCAAAAGAAAACTTAAAAGGAAGATGGATCCACCAGAGAAGTTTCCACACAACTTCATCAGCTACTTCTCTGGCCCATAAAAGCAAAGCCCAGAGGACTGTCCCAGGGGAGTGGGGTCCAGCCAAAGTTTGGAAATCTACCAGCTTCTTCAGTCGGATCATCAGATACTTAAAGTACAACAGGACATGAGAGTCTGTCCCACGGACAGGCGGATGCCCTGGGTGCCCTCAGCTGTGGGCAGGCGTGGCCCAGCCTGGAGTTACTGGCAGTAAAAGGTGAGCACGTTCTCCTGGTTCCCTCGGATCAGGATGACCGGAGGTCGGAGGTCCTGGGACAGCGTCTCCAACCAGGCCATGTACAGCGAGCTCGGGCACTTCCCCTTTCTCCCTATAGGCAAGGTACTGCAAGCAGGAAGAAGCAGCAAATAAACACTTAGCAGGAGCCCTTCCCCACACAGCCCAGCCTGTGATTATCTTTCTGATCAGAAACTCTGTTTACTGACTCCTTCAGCGCTCCTTCTTCCTAGCCACCCTAAGAACGACCTCCCGCTCTCCTTAAAAGCACAACTCCAAATGTACCTTCAGCTACAAAGCTGGTGTAAACAGAGCCATGGCCTGTAAGACTCACATGATCTGGTCTCCACCAACATCCACAACCTCACCTCCTTCTACCCTCGGCCTCGCTTACAACCCTACAGCCATAATGGCTTTCTTCCATTCCTGAAAAAAAAAATGGCAAGCCTGCTCCTGCCCCAGGGCCTTTGCATGTGATGTTCTCCCCACCCAGAGGGCAGCGCCTCCCGCCTTCCACCTGGTTGGCTCCTTCAGATCACCCAGGCCTTGGCTCCCCTGCACCTCCTTCTCGGATCACCCCCTTCCAGAGCAGGCTTGCTGTCTCTCTTTATCATAGCACCCTGTTTCATTGTCCTCACAGCCCTTCCCACTCTCCAAACCCTCTTTTCATTTGTTTGTTGTCTGTCTCGCCCAGTCGACCGTATGTTCAGGCCAGGTCTGTCTTGTTCATTATCCTTTCCCTGCGTCTAGAACGCAGTCTGATACAGTAGCGGGGGTCTCTCCCCCTCGGGCCACTTGAATCACGACGATGTGATCTGCTCACACGTTTCAGCTGAGTATCCCTGTCCTGCCTTCCACCATGTATGCGAGGCCCTGGGACCAGTACTCCACCCTTGCCCTGGGAGGGCCCCTTGTCCACATGGCAAAGTCACGCAGATAATGAGGTGCCCTGGGGCCACCATTCAGCCATATCATCACGGCTGTTTCAGCAGGTGACTTTCTCACCATCTTGGGATTCCAAAAATGCTTCAGGATGACCACAGCTGACCTGCTCTTGACTCCAGGAGAAGGCAGTAAGTCCCAGGCCCGGCGGGCGGGACGTGAAGTTGGGGCTGCCCTTTGCAGTCTGTTTTCCTACAGGACATCCCTGGCCACTGTTGCATCTGAACTTGAACACAACCCTGGGGAACGGGGCAGGGCCTGCAGCGCTGGCTTTCTTTCCAGCTGAGGGCACCAGGCAGAAAGGAAGGCGCTGAGCGACCCTGGCCACAGGGCCGGGACTCTGGGCGCAGGGCAGCTGTGGGAGTGGCGTTGTCCCTCCTCGGCCACGTGGCTCACGTGGCTTTGGCAGGTGGCTTGCAGCCTTGAGCCTCTGTTTTCTCTTCCTTGAGGTGAGGACACACACACCTCCCTCGGAGGCTGTTAGTGAGCTCTAAAGAGGTCAGAGCCTACAAAGGGCACCTGCAGTGCCCGGCACCTGGCAAGCACCTCCTCGTGGAAGAAGCTATTGTCACACTGCGATTTAGCAGCAGCAAGCGACAAGCTGGTAAGCGGCAGAGCTGGGACTCCAAACAAGGTCCTGGGATTCTCCTACCCCAGATGCCTCTGCTCACAGCGACCCTCACTGAGAAGGCCAAGAGGGGGCCCTGGACACCTGTCCCTTGCTTAAAATTCTATCCTCGAAGCCTCCCTTGGGACCACCTCCACCCTCCTTTAAGAAAACAAGGTCCCCAGACGCCTGGGTGGCACAGTCAGTTGAGCATCTGACTCTTGGTTTCAGCTCAGGTCATGATCTCAGGGTCGTGGGATCAAGCCCCGTGTAGGGCTCCACGCTCAGCATGGAGCTTGCTTTTCCCTCTCCTGCTCCTCCCCCTGCTCTCTCCCTTTCTAAAATAAATAAGAATATTTAAAAAAGAAAAGAAAAGAAAAGAAAAAAGCAAGGTCCCCGGGACGGGGAAAGGCCACAGGAACAGGGGTATTTCATAAAGCTCGCGTTGCCTTAGAACATGTTTGTGTCTGGTGACTCTCAAGGAGAAAGGGAAATGGAAAGATCAAAACAAAACTTTCCTGATTTCACAGTGGTGCTGAAGTTTCGGTTACATCGTCGACAAAGCTCTCCGGGAACTCCTACGTCATTCTCCGGCACTGAGTTCAGAAATTTCAAAGGCTGCGAGGGGGCTGGTGGCTGCATTCTTGAGGGGACACCCGTCACTCCTGCTCTGGCCTTTCAAGCTTCAGCGTCATGTCCCCTTCCCCAGCAGAGCCTGTCCACCTGTCCACCCATCCACCCATCCGAGGGACAGGCTCCCTTTGCACTCTGCCCCTGCACCAGCCAACGACCCCCAACTCCTGCTCCCAGGATATGTGCACTGGCAGCTACAAATCTTCAGAAGTAAAGCCGCTCCAGAGTAGAGGAACTTTTTGTTCAGATTTGCATCTCTTGGCCACAAAGAAAGGCAGGCTTGGCCCTAACCTGGATCCAAGGCTTCAAAACCCAATCCTTACTTCACAGCTGTGGGATCCTGGGCAAGTTGCCTGACTCCTCTGAGACTCAGTTTCCCTCTCTCCAAAGTGTGTGTATTGTGGGGGTGATGGGGGTAAAACAGAACCACTGCACAGAGTTGAAAATTACTAAGGCCCCATGTCTCCAGTGTGGCTCAATCAATAAAATGCGATGTTGATTATTATTATTTTGATTATTATTTGCTTTTGAGGAGGGTGTCTTTATAGGAAAAGAGAGGGGTCGAGTCCCAAAAGGGAGACCAGAAATAGGTTGCTCGTCTAGGCAAAGGTTGTTGGGCCAGCTTATTATCTTATAAGGCTGGCTTATCAGCTGCGAGGGTGAAGCTGAACGCAAACATAGGCCATTAATCAGATAAACTGCTGTTGGGTAGACAGCAAACAACCAAGTTCTGCCCCAAACCTGCTCTAGAAAATGGTCTGAGTATGCTCTTCAAAATTCTGGAAAGTGTAATTTTATCTTTCCTCCTGAGGCAGGGGAGGATTTTTTTCTTCCTCGGAAATCATAGCATGTTGGTGTGAAGGACAACCTTGGAAATAATTAGGTTTAACCTTTCTCTATAATCAGGGAGACTGAGATGCAGAGAAGTAGGATTACTTGCCCAAAGCCGCACGGTGAGCAGAGACAAAGCGCAAACCCGCTTCTCTGAACGGGGCTGGCCCTCGTGAAGAGGTGGCTTGGCACATCCCAGGCACCATACCCAAGGAAAGGTCTGGGGAGTCGTCCCGGGATGAAACCACTGTCTTGCACTCTGACCCGGTCCACAACCCAGGCCAACCTTGCCCTAGGTTGCTGGGTGTTGGCCAGAGGCTTGCAGAGAAACGCAGCCCTTTCTCTTACCACAGTTACCGCATCAAGGAAACACAAAGCACTTCATTGTACCAAAAAAATGCTCTCCCTAAGAGCCCCAGGGAGCAGAGCCGGCTTCCTGGGCATGCAAGCTGTGCAGTCACATGCTCCCCTCCACCAACACTTAGAAGGGTCGCATGCTGGGTTCCATCCTCCACTGCTGCCTTCTTGCCATTCTTAATGCTTTTTGAATAAGGGGTCCCACTTTTTCATTTGGCGCTGGGGCCCCTCAGTGGTGTGCTTGATCCTGGTTTCAGGGTATGAGAAAACAGGTTCTGCCAGCTTCGGGGCCATCCTGAGGAATTCCCAGGTGGCTAGCCCTCAGGAAAGCCAGGCCAGTTATGGGCCTTGCCAAGTATGCCCGTTCCCTCTGAGCTAGGCTTCCTCTGGGAGAGGGGAGTCAGCGGGCCTGGCTGCCCGTGTTCTCCCTCTAGGTCTCTGGGACCCTCTGTGCCACCACCACCCGTGCCCTCATCTTCCACCTCCTCGGCTTCAGCCCCTACCCACGAGAAGTGGCTCAGAGCGGGCCCCAGGTGGCCGCAGCCGAGGGCCTGTGAGGCATGGAGCCCGGCGCAGCAAGCTTCTGCTCCTGCCGCTGCCCAGGCTTGGCACCCACCACAGCCGGGGGTGGCCCATGGCCAAAGAGGCCTGGGTGATTCCCAAACAACCAGGAATCGCTTTTCTTCTGGAAGGAGCGGGGTCACTTTTGCCAAGCTGAGTTTGGCAGGGAAAGGTGGCGAACAAGGGAAAATGGTGGGGAGGGGAGCCGGCGAGGCCGGAGACGGGTGAGGTCCTAGACCTCTGCCCACTGGCACTCAGGTGAGGGGAGCCGAGCGGGGGCAGGCCCAGCCACATGCCAACAAGCCACCTGGGCAGCATTCCCTGGAGCTTTGGGCCCTTCCGCCTCACAGGGGAGGGCTCGGGCCCTCAGCCGACGTGCACCTCCTGAGCCCCCTCCCAGAGCGGACATCCTGGGCCTTGGGGACAGCCTTCCCCTCCCAGCAGTGGCTACTTACATGACCACCAGAGCGGCGTCCCGGGAGGAATCCTGCAGAATCTCATTCAGCCTCACCTGCCGGAGGGACTGGAGCAAGGAGAAGCCACAGGGTCACTGCCCACATCCTCAAGAGTGGTCCCCGAAAAGCCCAGGGGCGTCTTGAAACATTTCAGACCAGATACATGAATTCTTCCCCCTCAAGTATTACAGACTTTCCCTCCTCCGAGACGGAAGGGGACCCTCAGGGTAACAGAGTGCCAAGTCCACCTCCTTGGGAAACCCTCCTTGGCTCTTCTTTGCCAGACCTCATTTCCATGACTGGGGGTGGCGGGGATTTGTTGGGAGAGAGAGCACATTCCGTGGTGTGGGGTGAGCTGGGTCCACATCTCAGCCCTGAGAGCTCACAGCAGAGAGAACCTGAGCAAAGCACGTGGCCTCCCCAAGCTTCATTGTCTTCACTGTAAAATGGGTACAATAATCCCATTATCGTATCGGGGAATGTGGGCAGCACTGAGGGAGATAACCCACGCAAAAACACGCGGATGTCGAGGGCTCAGCACTCGGAAGGCACTTGATAAGGTAGACTCAGAGCAGAGGCGGAATGTGCCACCTCCCCCTCCATAACAGGCTAGGCCAGACCCTTCTTTGGACACTACACTTTTTCCAGCATTTTCCAAGGAGCTGTGAGCCCTCTGGGGCAGGGTCTCAGGGCTGACAGATCAGAATTCCCTAAAGCTTATGTGAGTTTGGGTTGTGGGGGAGACTCCCTCCCACACCAAGGCCTGTCTCCAGATTGTTCAGACATGATTGACACTCAGAGTCTGATTGTGGGAGGACACCCCATTTGAGAGAATGGAAAACGTTGGGGAAGTGAGTTCAGTGATTTCACAGACTCCAGATCCTACACTGGTGACATTTTGGGGGGAATAATTCTTCGTCATGGGAACTGTCCTGTGAGTTGTAGGATGTTTAATAGCGTTCCAGGCTTCTACTCACTAAGTGACAGTAGCAATCCCACTCGCCAGTGGCAAACAGACACATTGTCAAATGTCCTCTGAGGGCAAAGTGGGGGTGGGGGACCACTGACCCGGAGCACAGGGAGCAGAACTGCTCACCCCGTCTTAAAGTGGCCATGGCAGCCACTACCCTCCTTTAGGCCTTGAAGAATCTGGAAGACGCTGTCTGGGTGGGGGTGGCCATGATTTTAGGCTACATGTAGGGTGGGGCCCGCAGGCTAAGGGGAATCTTCAAGCAGCTTTGTTGGCCCACAGTGCAAGTTCTACCTTGACCTTTGCCACCTGTGCCATGAATCCCTTCCACCAGGCATAGAGGGGAAGAGGGAGAACTCCCACCAGTCCATCGCCACAGCGGGGCGTGACTCATGCCAAGAACGGCTCTGAGTTCCACGGCTGATTTATCTAGCGTCTGTGGCTTGAGGATACCTCAGAGGCCAGGGCATGGTGGAGCAGGATGGTCAAGGGGCGGGGGTTAAGGAAGCTCAGGACAGATGGGGCACGTGGCCCTGACCCAGAGGAGCGCCTTGACCCCCACCCCACCCCAGCCAGGCCCTTCTCCCTCGGGTACCTTGACTCTGTTCTTGTTAATCTCCTCGTCTGAGATCTTCCAGGGGCAGTCCCGCCTCATCTCTGTGACAGTGGTTTCGTCCTTGAAGCCATCATTCAGGCGGAAGGGTGCAATCATGTCCTCAAACCGCTTGGTGCTTGGGACAGAGAGAGCAGGTGAGACTGGGTGAGACAGCCAGTTTCCAGGAGAACCAGGTCCCCCAAGGGAGACGGAGATGGGCGCCACAGGGACATGCTTTTCAGGTTGAACGCATTCTGCCGCTGTGGTTTACATCAAAGCGGCTTCCATGTAAAAATCAGCACTGACCCGTTGGGTCTGGCATGCCACGGAACTTCTGTAAGTTGTCCACAACGCCTGGCCTGGGATCCACCTCCACCCCGCCGACCGTTCCCTGGGTGGTTCCTGAGCACTAACTATCCTGCGCCAGGCTCTGCGCTACACACCAGTGAACAAAAAACCCTACAATGTCCTCTATCTACAGAGCTCACCATCTGCTGGGCAATAAACAGGCAAATCTAGATCACGAGCTTTATGAAGAAAGCACAAACCGAGTACCAGGACTGGAAATATTTGGGACAAGGAAGGCCTCCCTGAAGCTGAAGGATGGCTGTCCTTCTGAAGCCAGCTCTTCACAGGCCAGGGGGTGCTGGAGCACACAGAGCTGAAGGTGCAAAGGCCCTGAGGCAGAAGTGTGTTCGGTCTCTTTGAGGAGCAGCAAAGTAGCCAGTATGGCTAGAGCAAGGCAAGGGCAGAAGAAACTGGGGTGAGTGAGGACACACGAGTGTGGGAGCCTAGACCACGCAGGCCTTCGCTATTTGCCCTGAGATGGGGAACTGCTGGAGGCTGTTCTGTATGACTTGACTTACAGGATTAAAAATAGAAATTCAGGGACGCCTGGGTGGCTCAGTTGGTTGGGCAACTGCCTTCGGCTCAGGTCATGATCCTGGAGTCCCGGGATCGAGTCCCGCATTGGGCTCCCTGCTCAGCAGGGAGTCTGCTTCTCCCTCGGACCCTCCTCCCTCTCATGTGCGCGCTCTCTCTCTCTCTTTCTTTCTCTCTCAAAAAAATAAATAAAATCTTAAAAAAAAAAAAAATAGAAATTCAGACGGGTCGGCCCTCAGATGAAACCCCCTGCAGCCATATGGACGGAGGAGCTCACACTGGGGAACAGAGTCAAGAGAAAAAGGTCCAGGGCGGAATCTGAAGGATACTGGCAAGTGTCGCTCAGGAAAAGGAAGACTAACCAGCAATCGGAACTGAAAGAAGGGTGGCTGAGGTAGGAGGAATCCTGTGGAGGGTGAAGCCTCCGAAGCTAAAGGAAGAACTGTCTCAAGAGGGAACCTGTGTGGGATGCAGCGGAGAGGCAGAGGAAGATGAGCCCAGAAAGGGGTTCTGTGGGTGAGGCGGAGGCCAGTGATGACACCGGTGAGGGGGATCTCCGTGAGGAAGTGGCTGCAAAGAGTGTCGATTTCTTTGGAGAAGTTTGGCTGAGAGAGGGAGGAAAAGGCCGGCCAGGAAGTGAAGGCAGAGAAGGGCCAAGGCTGGGGTTTTAAAGATCAGGGCTGCTGCATGGGGTCTGTGGGCTTGCTCTCGAGCTCCTCCCACGGGGAAGGATGCCCAGAAGTCTTAAGTCGTTGCTCCTCCACCAACAGAGACAGCCCAGCTGCATTCTCTTGTGCTTTCTGGTGCGTCTCTGCCGCGCTCCTCCCGTGCCTCTGGATTGCTCCCGCCTGCACTGGGGCTGGTGTAGGAGCCGATGTCCATCACCGCGGACTAGGTCCTGCCCTCTCCAGGCAATGGGGAATATAAGGGAGAGGTAAGAGGTCAGGACGGACCTGACTTTACTGAGGAGAGTGAGGGCTGGGAAACGTCATGTACATGGATTTACAGAAAGCAAGCCCGATTTTAAATGTCTTAAGTTTCAGACTAGTGAATTGAATCATTGAGCAGGTGAGTCATCATCCCTTCGGACCCACCATTGAGCCTAGCTAGAAGTTCACATGGGGATTTGCTTAAAGTCCGTGAGCTTGCTGGTGCATGGGGGGAGGAGGAGAGTTATGGCCCAGACCCGTCAACGTTTTCCCCACTCCCAGCACCAGTGTGTTCATGGAAATAACAACAGGGGCTGTGGCTGCCACGCTTCTGCCTCAGGGCCTTTGCACCTTCGGTTCTGTTTGCTCCAGTATCCTTCAGCCCCGTGGAAGGGATGTGCCTCTGCCATGGCCCCTGCCCTCCAGCCATGTGTTTCTGGGCATGTGACTCTGCTAACCCCGGTCATGGCCAACTGGAGCAAAGGTAGCCAAGAAAGAGGCTTTGCGGCAACCTCTTCCTGGGCCCCGTGGGCAGGGCCGAGCTGGGCCAGTCGCAGTTCCTTTTTCAAGAACTTCAGTTAGGCAAGGTTAGAGAAGGAAGCAAGTCTGTAGTGGAGCCAAGACCTCATGAAAAGATCAAGGTCTAGAGCTCAGAAGCCACGAGGAGGCAGAAGCCATTGATCCAGCATTTACTGAACACTGACTCGGGGCTGGATACTGTGTTAAGCACTTTATACAGACTGTCCTTAAGACAGTGGTTATCCAAGTGAAGTGCCGGGACCAGCCCCTGAGAGCTTGTTAGGAATGCAGGTTCTCAGGCACTACCCCGGACCTACTGACTCAGAATCTTGGGGCGGGGTGGGGCGGGAGGAGCGGGGCTCAGCAAGCTGTGTTTTCATAAGCCCTCCGTGTGATTCTGACACAGGCCGAAGTTTGAGAACCACTGCTTTATGACAACCCTTCAGGGTGCTGGAGAAAATTTAGAAATTTATGAGTAGCAAGCAGTGTGAAGTGTGAAGCCAGAGACCGCCCCCCGCCCCGTTCCTCCCCCCAGGTCTGTGGGGTGGGTGGGGGTGGGGTCCCTTGAGGATGAAACACCTGCCTTCCCTCGAGTGGCAGAACAGCCGAGACTCGCACCTGCTTTAAAACACTTGCTCTAAGGAAAGAACAAACGTGAACATTCACTGTCCTCCAGCCCAGGTGTGTTTCTGGCAAAGACCAGAGCTCTGATATGCAAAGAAGGAAACCCTGACAGGGAAGATAAAGGGCTGCAAACTCCTCCCCTTCCTCTTTCCTCCCCTGAGCCCTGTCCAGGTGGCTGACAGAGCCTCTGCCCGAGGCTCACCAGACGCAGGGGTGTGCGGGGCACACAGCGGGCCCTTCTGCCTGGGAAGTAAGTCAACACAGAGAACTTACTGCTCAGCCCGCGGCTTCTGGTTGATGTCAGGAAGGACGTGAACTTCGTGGAATCCCAGTCGGAACTTGCTCAACAGGGAAATGATCCTGGAAGATGGAGATTTTTTAAATGCGTATTCTTCCATTCAGTGAATTTGTACTGAGTGTCTACCGAGGACTCAGCAGCGAATACAACAGATCAAACCCTGGCCTTAGGGAGTTTACGTTCTCACCCGGGCAGGGGCAGATAAGAGATAAATATTGATAAAGTAGGTCAGAGGATGAAAAGCGATAAGGAAAAGTGATTGAGCAGTATTTCCCCAAGTACCTGGTGGCCATCTCTGGACTAGCACACCTTACATTTTAATGTCTATACATCTTCCAGGGACCTTGGTACAATACAGAGTCTGATTCATCTGGTCTGGGGTGAGGCCTGGGATTCTGCATTCTGACAAGCTCCCCGGTGATGGGATGCTGCTGATCCACAGAGAACACTTTGAGGAGCAAGGGTCTAAGGGATAGAAGGTAAACCACAGGAAATTGCAGGGTGGGCTGCAGAAACAGAGATGACACCCATGAACGAAGTATAGAACCGGGAGGAGCGACCCATGTGGCACTGACTTTGCATGTAACGGGAGGAGACCGTCTGTGGTTGGTGACAGTCAGGGAAGGCTTCACAGAGGAGGTGGCAATCTAGCTGGACAGTGCATGATGTGCAAGATTATTACAGGCCAAAGGGGGTGAGGTGGGGGTGTCCACAGTGGAATCAGCCAAGGAGACTTCTAAATAATACATCTGCTTTGGCTCTAGCCAAGTACATGGGGATACCCCAGAACAAGCTGGCAGGGTTTGAGTGCATGCGGGTGGGAAGTCCAAATGAGTGAGGGCACGGCGGTGCAGGAGGTGGAGCGGGAGCAGTGAGTGGCTGGCTGGGTGGGGGGCAGGGGCCAGGGATAAACCTTAAGGACCAGGCCACCGCCCAGCCATCAAGCTGCTGCTGGTCCCCAAACTTGGGAGGGAAATTAGGAAAGCAGAGCTGTGAGCAGATGTGCTGGTATGCAGCACGGGGGTGGCAGGCCTGGGCAGGGCCCCGCCAGAGGCAGCGCCAGCCTGGCCTCGGGGTCACAAGGGGGCCAGAGGGCTTGGCCTGGCTGAAGGACAGTTGGGAGGCAGAGGACATTCCACAGCCTTCACGTGCCGGACAACCCGTGAGCCCGTGGTGCCATGGCCTTGAGCTCTACTAAACCTGCTGAGCCCGGCTTGCATTCGGGGCTGCAACAGAAAGCCGAGCTGGTGAAGCGGCCTTCCTGACTTCTTTATCTTCTGGAGATCACAGCGAGGCCAGACACGGCTTTCCTCAGCACTGCTGAGAAGGGCCTTCTGGGGCAGAGGTTCTCAGCAGGGGTGAGGACCAGGAGATGGGATTGCTGGTTGCCTTTAACTCACACGGCGGGTGACTGAGAAGGGGTCATGGGGACACAGTCCTGGTGGCACAGGCCCCACGGTCCTGACCTAGGGGCATCAGGGTGGGATTGTTGCCAAGAGCACCAGAGGCCGGGCAGTTTCTTCTCTTTGGCTAATTCATTGCTTGCTTGAGCAAGCCACCCATTGTTCCTACCTAGCCACCCACTCTAGTGGTCTTCCATTCCACAACCTTCCACCTCACAAGGCCGTTGCCCAACTCTAGGCACACCTGTCTACCTACCTTGACCATTTACTTCCTTTTCAGCTTAAATCAACTCACATTCTTCCTTAGCCACATCTTGAAATTTCGTATGGCGATTTTCAACAGAAAACCGGCATCTCTCGCCAGAAAGAGGCGATCAATAAAACCCAAGTAAATAAACAAATGTGACTAAATTCTGGCTGGTTGAACTAAATTCTACTGTTGCCCTCCAAGCTCTTCGGCCAGGCCTGTCCTCTCTGGCTGAGACAGACTAGCATGTGTTCCCGAGCAGAGAGCCCTTCTCCTGCGGAATGAGAGCCACACGGTTGGAAGAGAATCAAGTCACTTCTCGGGGCCCCTGGGTGGCTCAGTTGTTAAGCATCTGCCTTCGGCTCAGGTCATGATCCCAGGGTCCTGAGATCGAGCCCCGCATCGGGCTCCCTGCTCGGTGGGAGGCCTGCTTCTCCCTCTCCCACTCCCCCTGCTTGTGTTCCCTCTCTCGCTGTGTCTCTGTCAAATAAATAAAATCTTTAAAAAAAAAAAGTCACTTTTCACAAAGAAATCCAGTGGGATTTGCTGCCCCAACTCCTGGCCCCTAATGTCACCTCTTGTCTCACCAGGGACAGCATCCTAAGCTTGGGGGGGGTTGCCCTGAAGGATCCTTAGCCCCACCTCATTCCTCAGCAGGAAGGGCCTTCCTTCTCCGTCCTTCACTTCACACAGGTTTCTCCTTGAACAGATTTGTGGCTTTAAAATGTAACACTCCTCCCCGTCATGGCTGGAACTAGGGTGTCTGCGTCTTATTAAAGGGGGCATGGGACAGCAAAACAACTTCCAAAATGGACAGAAACCTGCTCCTGCCCAGAGCTCCCTCCCCACTGCTGTGACCTGGAGAGGGCTGAGTCTACCGGGGGGGGGGGGGCGGCACGCACGTCGGGGAGAGCAGGAGGGGGGCACCATGGGCAGAACTGGGATGGTGCTGGTCTTGCACGGCCCCCCACCAGCGCTCCCCACTTACGCCTTTCTCTCCTGGTCCATCCTGTTGATCTGGCCCCCCACGAACACGCGGATCCTGCATTTGCTCCATCTCTTCTTGCGGCCAAGAAGATAGGGGATGAGGAGGGTGAGGCCTGGCAAGGAGGGTCCCCGTAAATCAAGGGGGAGCTGCTCTCAGGATAGAGCACCCTCTGGGTTCCCGCCCCATCTGCCACTGGCACGCCTCTTCCTCTCTTTGGACCTCAGTTTACCCATCTATGTAATGCGGGTGCTAGACTAAACCAAGGTGGCACACGGGGCTCTCTGGGTTAGGGTTCATGTAGCCTGCATGATGTTTTTAAATCCATGAGCTGGCATTTAATAATTGGGGGATTTTCACGTGAAAATCTGGATTGCTGGCTGGGGCGCCTGGGTGGCTCAGTCGTTAAATGTCTGCCTTTGGCTCAGGTCATGATCCCAGGTCCTGGGATCGAGCCCCGCAAGCCTGCTTCTCCCTCTCCCACTCCCCCTGCTTGTGTTTGCTCTCTCACTATGTCTCTCTCTGTCAAATAAATAAATAAAATCTTAAAAAAAAAATCTGGATTGCTGGCATTTTTTTTTTTGAAGATTAAAGATTTGACCAGTGGGTGGGAACCCTCATCCCTCCTTGTCATCTCTCCACATGAGGCCAAAGACCAGCTGTCACTTATCACTGTGCAACCCTGGACCAATTGACCAATTACTTCATGGCTCTGTGCCTCAGTTTCCTTCTTTGTAAAGGGGTCTCATAATAGTTCCTGCCTAGGGATTGCACTTAGTGTCAAGCGTGTGGTAAGTGTTCAGTCTACGTGAGCTATCATGCCGAGGATACATGCTCCTGGAGCAGTATTTTCTGTCTAGGTTGGGCTCTATCAGGGGTGCAACAATAAAGCCGAGAGAAGCATTTGTCTTAAGAAAAATGGGAGAGAGAGTATTTTTTGGAAAGTGAGGAACATTCCTACAGCTTCCCCCATTTATGGCAGGGGCCCGTGACCCCCTAAGGCCCATCTTGTCTGAACATTCCATCCTATGCTGACCTCAGCTCCTCCTACAAAGTCCCCCATTTTACAGCCAAGAAGAGGGGCTCAGCCAGGCTTCCCCAAGCCCAGAGGTCCCTAGTCCCCTTCGCTGGGCTCTGTGGTCCCTGCAGGGGCCTTGTCCACAGTGGCCAGGAAAGGCAGGCCCTGGAGGGAAGGCAGCCCCGGGGAGAGCTGGTGACCAGGGTGGGCACTGACCTCCGTCATCAAAGAGCCAGTAGATGTCAATGCTCTTCTTGCCCTGCTCAGACTGGAAGATGGTGCTGGCCTGCTCCTCCCGCACTAGGGCCTCAGGGTCCACTGCAGGAGCAGAGGGGCTGGTCACCTCGGAGCAGCACATCTTCAAATGCCTGACTCTGTCTGAAAACGGAGCCAGCTGCCCCGTGAGGTGGGCTCGCTGTCACCTGCGCTACGCCCACGGCAGCAGGAAGCACCGCACTGAGGGCGTGCATGGTGGGGACTGGCCCAGAGCTCCACCACTGGCTCTTCGGACAGTGAGACCCTGAAAGCTGATTCTCAGCCAGGTAGACCAGGAGCCAGGGTCCCGGACGTGCAGTTCCGGCCGCGCCCCTCCCTTATTCCCCTGTATCCCAGGGCAGCAGTGGGAAGGGACTGAAGGAGAAGCCTACTCCTCTCCTCCCTGCCTGTCACCCCTGAGCCTGGCCAGGGGGCCCTGGGAGGGGTCTCACACATGGGCCCCGGAGCCAGCCGGGCGGGTTCCCACAATGCCAGGTGGGTTCCCGAGGAGGGCTGCACTGTTGAATGCTGCCCATGCCCATCTGCCCTCGTCCCCGGTTACCCAACCCCAAGGGTCTTGGGCACCTCCTGCCCATGACCAGTTTCGCTCATGGCCCACCACTCGCTGCCCCACAACATGAGAGCATCCTGAGCCTCTGAGTGGGGGTGCAGACTGACGTGTGCCTGAGACAGACGGCCTGGCCCTGCTGGTGCTGGCTTCTTTGCCATCCTCCGCTGGGTCAAACACCGGGTCAAACACCGGGTTAACTGCAAGAGAGGGGGCAGCTTTGTTCCCGGGCTCTCCTCAACTTGGGGCACTTCTGGCTTCCTCCTCTCCCAGGCTACCCCTTACAACTAGGAAGAAAGTCCTGACTCCTCACCTTCCCCTCGTCTGGCCCCTGCGTCCCCCTAGCCCCGGCCCTTGGCACTCCAGCCCCCCTGCCCCCTGCCCTCCTCCTGCCCCTGCATCAGGCCTCATCCAGGTGTCCCCTGAGCCAGGAGCCCTCACAGCAACCCCCCCTTCTCAGCAAAAGTCCCCAACATTGGAGGGGCCTTTCTGACCACGTGCCCTGTGTCCTTGTCACTGTCTGCCATGATTTATGGGTCCCCCGCCTTTCCTGTGGGAACCCAGCTTCCCCGGGCTGACTCGGTTTTGTTCCCTGCTGTACCCCCAGCACCAAGCACGGTGTCCGCCAGGAGCACAGTTGCTGGTCTGTGAATACTGGTTTTTCATCAATATTCCCACAACAGCTGCTGTGCGTCAGGCCGCTGTCTGCCCAGGGTGACGTGGATCAGCACCGCCAGCCACAGATGTGGCCTCACACCTCTCAGTCCCCGCCCCCCGGTACCGCCCCCTTTTGTTTTCTATACTATGATTTCGTTCAGTCCTCCACATGTGACTAAGGCAGAGTCTGCAGATCCCTGTGTGATAAAAGTAAAACACAGCCCTCCTCGGTGCCCACAGCTATTCCACTACCTGAGGGTCTTGGGGACCAAAACGTCCAGGTTCTGTGGTCTTTCTCTGTACTTCCATGTTCTGGTGTCTTTATGTGGGCATTCTCCTTTCTCCCCTATTTTCCTTCTCCCTCCCTATTAGATCCTCTTTTATCCTATCTGCTTAAAAAAACCCTGATAGTGGTTGGGGAGCTCTGAGGTCCAGTCTTGGTTCTGCCCCTAGCTGGAAGCGTGACCTTGAACTTGGCCAGTGTCTTCATTTGGAAACCTGAGGAGCTCTAAGAGGCCATCAAAAGCTACTTTTTACAGCTTTTATTCCTTACTAATGTCCCCCTCTCTTCCCTCCACCACTTAAAAAAAATCGGGTTCTAGAACTTTCTGGGATCCTGTTCTGGTTTTTGACAGGGGCTCCGAGCAGGTGGGGCGTGTACTCACTGTGTGCCTGCATCACCTCTGAGACGTTGAGCCCCTCACGCATCCTCATGACACACACACCATAGTTGAAATCAAAAGCATCACTGGAAAGAGGAGAGGTGGGGTCAGGCTCCTCTTGGTCCTAGCCCCCAGCCCCCAGCCCCCAGGAGACCAGACGTCTACAGTGGGCCCTGCCTCCCCACCGTACCCTTCTTGCTCTCGGGGCATCAGTCTCCCCACCTGTGTAACATGCAGGTGGGGAGACTCTAGCTCTACGGTCCGTGGCACTAAGGATGCTGCAGACCCTGTACTCAGGGGGAAACCGAGTCAGGCCCATCTTCAAGACAGGCCCTGTCCTCCTAATACATTTGGATAATCTGCACAAGCCTGCCAACAGAGGTGGGCATGGGAATTCTTAACCCTATTTTACAGAGGCAGAACTTGAGTTTCAGGGAGTAACTTGCCCATGATCCATGCTAAGGAAATGGCCAGCTGGCTTTAGAATCGAAGAGCTGAGACGGAACCCCGAGGGTTGGCACACACAGGAATGGCCTTGCCCAAGAGGGCAGCAACAGCTTGTCTGAGGGAACGTTGAGAAGACTCCCAGCCCAGAAGTATATTCTCTGCCCAGTTGACAGAGGGCCCCAGAGACCACCAGTAGGGCTTGATCTGATGGGCTCAGCATTGCCCCCGTAGGCTCCTTTAGTTGCACATCTCTGGGAGAGGCACTTCACAGGCCCCAGCATGTTGAGGTCTTGGAGCACTGGAGCTGGGGGGATGCTGGAGAACAGGTATTCCACTACCTGTTGTCATTGTCAGAGGCAGCGGAGATGCCCGGCTCAGAGTCAGGTGGCTGGGTCACAGCCGACCAGGAAGCAGGTCCCCAGATCCCCAACACTCAGCTTGCTTCCTTCCTTCCTTCCTTTCTTTTTTTCCTTCCTTCCTTCTTTTCTTCCTTCCTTCCTTCCTTCCTTCCTTCCTTCCTTCCTTCCTTTCCTTCCTTCCTTCCTTCTTTCCTTCCTTCCTTCCTTCCATTTATTAATTTTTAAAATACTTCTATTTTTACTTATTTATTTAGATTGAGAGAGAGAGCATGCACAGGCAGGGTGGGAGGAGCAGAGGGAGAGAGAGAATCCCAAGCAGACTCCGCACTGAGCATGGAGCCGGATGTGGGGCTTGATCCCACAACCCTGAGATCACAAGCTGAGCCGAAATCAAGAGTCGGATGCTCAACCGACAGAGCCCCCCCACCCCCCGCGCCCCAGCCTTTGTTCGGCCTGAAGCCCCCAGGCAGTTTATCCTCATGGTCCCATTCCGCACACTGCTGCCTCCTGGGAGGCCTGGTTTCGCTTCCTACTCCGTGGCACCACCTCACAGCTCCAGAGCAGCTCTCTGAGGATCTGCTAGAGTCCACAGGCGGGCACAAGGTTTTCACCTAAAAACCCACCTTTTCGGCTTCTCTGAGAAACCAGAAGCTCTGGCAACACTGGGTCCACATTTCTAGCTGGGCACAACTGCTCACGGCAGCTTGCCACAGTCCCCTCTGCTCCCTACTGTCCCTCACCGGGTCTCCTCCTCTGGGTTCCCTGCATGTTCCCTGCCCATCTGGGCGCCCATGGCCCAGAGGTCAGAGTGGCGAGCCCTCAGTGGGTCTGTTTCTTCCTCAGCTTTGAACCAGCGTCTTCTAATATCCACTGCGTCCCCCCTGCTTCCCAAGGCCCAGCAAACTCCAAAGGCCCAAATCAACAGACCCCGGGCCCTGCCTCCCTCATGCCCTCACTCACTGCAGGATGCCAACGTAGCCTTCCACTGTGGCTGGGGGAGCAGATTGCCAGTTCTTCTTGAACCCAACCACCAGAATGTTGGGCTTCATTCTCCCGAGACCTGTGGCCTGCAAAGGGCGTGGGGCTGAGGTGAGGGGCCGGGCCTCATGCCCCACAGGGGCTCAGTTCTGTGCCTGGGGTGGGGCTCGCTCAGCCCCAGCTACCCTCTCCGCCACGTGGCGAGGGCTCAGGAATCACATCCCGCCAGTCAGGGTCCTGCCCGCCTACACACACCCGGGAGAGAGGGAAGCTACAGCCAGAAGCTACCAGGGCCGGACTGTCCCATTAGCTCTGGATTATCCCACTTCCTGCTTCTCTAGCAAATTATTTCTCATCCCAAGGGACTTGAATGTGGCTCCCAAGCTGAGAGTATCCCCAGGCCATCTTACCCCGACATCTTTTATACTTCTTTTTTTAGTGTTTAAAAATGTTAAAAATTTTTTTGAAGTGAAATTCCCATACACAAAATTAACCATTTTTAAAGCATATAATTCATTAGAATTTAGTATAGTCACAATGTTATGTAACCATCACTTCTATCTACTTTCAAAATATTTTCATATCCCCCCCAAAGAAGATGCTGTATGTTCTTTTTTTTTAAATGAGAAGTATTTAGAATTATTAGGAAGGACTCTGATATGCTGGCTCAGGATTACCAACTGTTACTGTATCTATGCATCCCATTTCACAAGCTGAGAAAACCGAGCAGGAAAATGAATTGCCCAGTGGAATGTTCTAGAACTTGATCTGAGTGGTGGCTTCACACCCCTGGGTGTAGCTGCATATGTAAATATGTATCAGACTATACACTTAATATTTTTCACTTTGCTGTCTGTAATTATATTTAAAAAAAAAAAAGAAAAAAGAAAAACAAGAATTGCTCAAGATCACACAGGCCCCATGGGCTCCCAGCTCAGTTTCCCATAGGCCCTTGGACACCATGAGAAGGTGCCCTGAGTCAGCATATCTGGAGAGACAAGAGAGGCAGGCACTCCTGTTGCAGCAACAGGAGCTTCAACTAACCCCTCGGGACATCCTGCCTTCCAGGTTGTCACACAAGCATTAAGTCCTATGGGGAAGCCCGGAACCCGTGGCACCTGCATGAGAATCTGAACACCACTGCGGAGGTCCTCGGCAATGACATCCGAGTAGAAGGCCTTGATCTTCCTCTTGTTCAGCCACTTGGTGTGCCCATTGGCGCTGAGCCGTAGCTCAGGCATCCTCTGTTTGCGGGGTCCCTGTGGGTGGTGGGGGCAGCTGACATCAGGAGCTGCCTTCACCCTCTGGCCCTAATGAGATTCAGCCCCTCTCCTCCCTGGAGGCTGCCCCAGGGGCTCAGCCACACCTTTTTTCCCCTTTGGAGTTAGGGGAGGGAAAGAGGAGGAGGGGAAGATGGAGGGAGCAGGCAAGAGGCTGGGCAGTGGGGAGAAGCCAGCAATGGGGACAGCGGAGGGGAGAGAACCAGGCCCACAGCAGGGTCTGGTGGACTCTGCTTGCTCCATAGGCCCTCCGCCCCCCACGCCTCCCCACACTCTCTGGCCGCCATGCAAGCGTGGACTTCATGCCCAAGGGCTCCTCCAAGGGCATGGCCCCACCCCACCTATAGGGGCCACTTACGATGAGCACGTGGCCACAGACCATCAGGCTGAGGTTCCGGGTGAAGGTGCCCACAAAGTCCACCAGGGCTGGGCGGAAGTTGGGGGGACCCGTAAGAACTAGGCACTGGGGGCTGAGGAGGGGAAGGGAAAAGGGCATGAGCCATCTGGACAGAGCCCACAGGGATCTGGGTGCAAAACACAGGTGCCGGGGAGAATAAAGGCTGGGGGTGGGGAGGCACATCACTTACAAGATCCTTGTGCCATGTGGGTGGGTGGGGGACTCAGCCTCCAGATGAAGAGGCAGCCGAGGGCCGTGGTCAGGGGCCACTGCCAGACTCAGCTGGAGCCAGACAAAATTGGTCACTCACCAGCTGTGTGACCTCGGGCCAGTTACTTAATGTCTCTGTGCATCCATGTTCTTGTCAGCGACTGGGGTTAGTAATTTCATATGCCCCAGAGGGCTGTGGTAAGGTGGCGTAAGGCACTTTTGAGCAGCAATGCAACGTGAATACATATGGCTGATGTTAGCATTACCATCTGGTGGGATGGAGTCCCGGACACACGACTCTCCTCGCTTCGGAGAGGTTCGTCACGGTCAGCCTCATGGATGACTGTGACAGGGACTACAACACCAGATTGTCCTTGGATAGCCCTTTGCATCTCGAAGAACATATTCTGCTATAAAAACTCAGGTACAGAGAGGTCACTAGACTGGCTTGGTCCCCACTGAGCCATGTCATCCCAGGCCTCTCACCGCAGAGCGGAGCTCCTCCACCTCTCTTCCCTCTCTGAGCCTGGGCGGTGCCCACCCCCCGGGATGCTGGGGCAGGTGACAGGTGGTTTGGAGCCTCTCAGAGCAGGGACACAGCTGCGCTCACCGGTAGTTCTTGATGTGGTCCTCTACCTCGTTGAGGCCCACCGAGTAGCTCAGGGCCAGGTTGTAGGAGCCGGCCTGTACCGAGGAGCCCCAGTTCACCTCTGAGGGTGGGGGGTGAGCACAAGATTAGAAACCCCTGGGAGAAACCAGTTGTGCCGAGGGAGGGAATGTTGACCTTCTTTAGGAATCAGGCACTGTGGGAGCTGGGCTGCCTGGTGGGTGGACAGCCTGCAGATTTCTTCCTAATGTTTGCACACATCATACAGCTACATGTTTAAAACTTACACTCCAAAGCATTAAACTCTAGGGACACCTGGGTGGCTCAGGTGGTTAAGTGTCTGCCGTTGCTCAGGTCATGATCCCAGGGTCCTGGGATTGAGCCCCACATTGGGCTCCTTGCTCAGCGGGGAGCCTGCTTCTCCCTCCCCCTCTGCCCGGCGCTCCCCCTGTTTGTGCTCTCTCTCTCTGACGAATAAATAAAATCTTAAAAAAAAAAAAAAAACCAAAGTATTAAACTCTACAAAATATTCACCTCCCTTGACCAACAGACAACGACCTGGAAGACCAGGTTCAAATTTAGAATTCTAGGCTTTCCTGGAGTTCTGCATCTTGTCCTGAGATCACTGTCACCCCAGGATCCTTGCTTGCATGCTGTGTCCACCTGCCTTTCGGCCAGCCAGCCCCTGGCCACCCCTCAGGCCCAGGTGTGCACCCCAGCAGCCCGGCCACTTCAAGAGGATGGCCCTGGGCAGGCAATTCTAGGGTCCTGGGAGCCAGGGGTGGGGGGGTCCAGAAGTAGAGGTGTGGGCTCTGAGTGGGCACGTCCCCATAGACTCCTTACCCCACGGGGAGGGACGGGGCTAGAGGGTCAGAGCAGGGCCCTTGAGAGCACAGAGCCTGACGCAGGCCCTCTAGCTGAGCTGAAGGGCACGATGGCTGGCTTGGTGCCCTCAGGGGGTGGGGGAAGGGGAGCCTGAGCCCCTGGGCAACCTGAGCCCGCACACCTGGCTTTTTGTAGATCACATAGAGCAGGAGGAAGAGGACGACGCCGATGGCGATGAGGGCTGCCCACCAGGTGAGGAGGAACATGATGACCACAGAGATGACCGCCCCAAACAGCGCCGCCCACTTGCTGTAGTATTGGAACGAGGGTCTCCACCCTGGGCGGAGGACGCAGGTCGGTGGGCACGCTCTGGAGCTTCCTCCTGGGCCAGTGCTGCTGGGCGGGGCCGGGGTGCCAATGCCAGCCATGCCCAGAGCCAGGGTCCCAGCCTGTGCCCACATGCGCCGCCCCCCCCCGCACCCCAGCTCTCTCCTGGGGCTGGGCTGGAGGCTCTGGGGAGGACCACACACCCGACTTGGCTGGCATTTGGCCATGTTGACAGGCTACACCAAGGACGAGGCATCCAAATATGGCCATATGTCAGCAACAGCACCAGCTCCCATGTCTCTCGCGGAGCCAAGGGGCTGGCAGGCCAGGGGAGGCTGTGATTCTGCCTGGCTCCACACCCCTGGGCCATTGCAGGGCCACCAGGGACAGCCGCCCCATGGCACAACTGTGGGGCGCCACGGTCCCCGGGCTAAGGAAAAGGTGGCCTGGCGACCAGCCCATTGGCGATATGGGGATAATCAGAAAAAGGCTTTCTCGGGATACTTCACTGCCATCTGCCAGAAATTTTTTAGAATATACATACAAATGGATGACGTATGTGAGCTGCACCCCGGGAGTTGTGCAAAGTGCAACTTGCAACAACCTGGGACTTTGGGCAATTCTCTTCCTTTTCTGGGGAGTCAGATTCCTGACTCCTGTAAATTTGATGGAGGAAGGCACTAGGGAAATCTCTGCACCCTGCAAACAGTGTATGAATCCATGTTCAGTGTAGAGTGTAAGTGCTTGAGAAATGAAAGCTGCTATTATTATTATGACATGAATGGTCCCTTGAATTGGTTTCGGTTTGAGAGGTGACCTTGGTGTGCCCACCTACATCCGTGCCTTCCCTGCCCCCACCCCGGTCCCCCGCCCCGCATGCCTCCTCCCACAGAGGGGTGAGGGGGCTGCTTACCAGGTGAGTTGGTGATGGAGGCGTGGAAACAGCTGAAGTTGATGAGGGCGTAGGAGCACAGGAAGAAATTGGAGATGATGGGGGCAATGGTGTTGAGCTCAGCTTCGGGGCCCCGAGGGAGAGAGAGAACAGTCTGTTGGGCAACCCGCCAGGGGGCCGCCTGGCACCCTCCCTTGCAGTTGGGGGATTCCAGACAGGCCCCAGAGGCTCAGTGCGTCTCAACCTTCTCATCTGTGAAATGGGTCCATCATTTTGTGAAACAAAGGGCCGATGTTTTGTTTACTGTAAAAGGCCGGCTCTTAAGAGGATGCAGAGAAGTGGGAGATCTTATAGGAGAACCAAGGACAGTGGCTGTCATAATACTTTTTTTGTAGCCACAAATTACAGTAAGAAATATATTTTACAATGTGATCCAAGGCCCATGTCGTCTTTTATCTGAAACTCTGGGACCATAGGACACACACAGTTCCACCCACAGTGGAAACCCACTCAAGAAGTGGGTCCTCCCTTCCCTGTCTCACTCGGCTGCCACTGCCCCTGGCACCCCCAGACAAACTTTTGCATGGGTATCCTTGTTTCAGGGGCCTGCTTCGAGGGGAACGCCAAAACAAGACAAGCACCTCTTATGTGTCGGGACTTCTGAGCATGATTCCCTTGAATCGCCACAAGAACCCTGCCCCAGAGCATCTGAGATTACGGTTCTCAGTCTGAACTGCGGTCAGATCCACTCAGATCAAAGGACACAAAATCTGAGCTGGGGGTAGACTGCAGGACGAGCAGGAAGCAGGGATGTGTCTGGGGAACACCAGGCCTGACTAGAGGTTTCCGTCTCCTGGGGGTGGCCCTGCTGCTTCTTCATCTGGTTCAGGATCCAGGAGTACCCAGTGTCTGGCAAGGCTTCCTTGATGGAAGAGAGTAGACTGGTAGGGTGAGTCTCGTGATTGCTGATGCCGGCATGAACAGCAGGGATTCAGCTATGGCAGGACCACGGGATGACCAGCAGCCAGCCCCTGCCCTGCTCCTGCATAGGGAGCCATAGCATGGCCACTGTCCTTGCTTGGTGTGGCCACCTTTCTCCTAGCAAGTTCTGCCTTGTTGGCTAAGTAAATCAGGAAGTACTGGGGAGTGTGTGCATGAAATGCAATGCATGTGCATGTGTGTGTGTGTGTGTGTGTATGTACACACAAGTCTCTGCCTGCCCACCTGCGTCGCCCCTGCTATGTGCTATTGCTCCCATTCTGCAGACAAAGAAACAGGCTCAGGAAGGTAAAATGATTTGTCCAAGGTAGCACAGCTGGAATATGGCAAAGCCAGGGTAGAAAGCCAATCTAACTAACTGGTTAACTGGGGTCTTTCTCCTGGGGCATCCTCTACCACGAAGTCCGAGGGATCTGGCAGGTCAAGGTCTGAGAAACGAGGTTGTCTCGTTTATACATCTGCAGAGATATTGATCCAGCTCTTTGTGTCAGCTCCCAAGAGCTGTCCTGGGCTCCAGAGTTGTCCTGGGGACTAATTCAGACCTGGGGGCTGGTGGCGTGGGGGGCCACTTGCCAGGACACAGGAATGCAGAGTCAGCAAGAGCAGGTAGGGTCCCTTCTAACAAAATAGAATGGTCCACCTGGTGTGGTGTGGCAGCCACCTGTCTGGAGAGGGGAGAGGGGCGCGGACCACATGACCAGCCTCACCCACTCAAGGGCTAGTCACTGAGTGCCCACTCCCTGCCAGGCCTGGCTGGGCACTGGGCGCCAAGGTGAGCAGCACCGAGAGGAGCCCTCACAGGCCCCTGCGCCCTGGCAGCCTCTCACCGATGATGATGAAGGCCACGGCGATGGCATAGGCCAGCAGGTAGCCACGCACTGGCTCCTTGTTCTTGCCGTAGCCCTTCCCAAAGAAGCCGATCAGTGGGTACAGCTGGTCCTCACACAGGCACTGTGGGCACAGGAAGATGTGCTCACCCCAGGCTGGGCCCCCGCTCCCCTCCTCTGCCCTACAGCTCCCCGCCCCGCCCCAGGCCCTGCTTACTCCCTCCACCTCAGCAGGGCGCTTCCTCTAATCTACATCCTCGTTTCTGTCTCTTAAATGGGAGTCATCTCCATGCCCACCCGCACCTCACCAGGGAGACAGCAAAAGGGCAAGAGGAGAGGGGGGCAACTGCGTCGGGGTGAAACGGGGTTGGCGGACTTGCAGACGGGGCGCCAGGCTGCGCAGGGGAGACTCTGGGGTGGGAAGTGCAGTGCACACCATGGGAAGGGGGCTGCTTCCTGCACGAGTTGGTCACTGGCCCCCTTTTGCCTTCAGTCTAGACTGTCCCTGTCCCATGATACCCCCAGACCTTTGTAGCAGTCACCGGAGGACCCTTGCGCCTGGGCCTCCCGGACCCTCCCGCCGCCTGTTCCGCAGCCTCACCTGGAAGACTTTGGCAGCAGAGACGAGGCAGGCCAGGGCAGAGGAGAGGGTGGCCCCAAAAATGCCAGCCGTGATCAGGGGCGCAAAGCCGGACACCATGCTCATGGTCTGTGGGGACACGGGGTCCAGGCCCCTTGTGGTGGAGCCCCTCATGCCTGGAGCCCCCTCCCAGGGCACCCACCTCAGCTAGGTCCCGAGGCCTCTGAGTCCACACCGCTTACCTGGGGATCCCAGGGGCTGCTGAGGCAGGGGCTAGGCCCCAGGGCCCCCACCTGAGCCTGAACCTCAGCCCCCCAAGCCTGGGGCCCAAGCCCCGTGCGTCCCGGCCTGTTCCAGCCCCAGTCTGGGGCGGCCTTCCCCACAGGGGCCACGCGCACCTGGTAGTAGTTGATGAGGCCATAGCGGCAGCTGCGCTGGTGGGCACACTCGGTGAAGTTCCAGCCGTAGCCACAGGCCAGCCCCTCGCAGGTGCTTGAGCCGGGGGTCACTGTGTCATTCAGGGCCCCGGAGGCATCGCGAACCACGCAGGAGCCTTAAGAAGGAGCAGGGCTTGGGGAGGCCTCCCTCCCTCCCTCCTCCCTCCTCTCCTCCCACCCCAGACACGGGTCACTCCTGCAGAGGGGGAGAAGCTGCTGCGGGGCCAGCTCCCTCTTTAGCATGTAAGCATAAGTAATAATAATAACAATAGTAATGGCAACACAAATGTGCCAGGCACCACACTAAGGAAGCAAGCATCACCATTGCCTTTGTTGTTACTGTCATTCTACAGAGGCCCAACAACGTGAAGTGGCTTGTTAAGGTCCCCACCCCCCACTCCCCCCAACCCCGTCCATGTCCTCCTCGAAGCAGAGGCCAGACTGGCTGCGCCCTGGGCCGTGTCCCTTGGCCATCTGTGAACAGCCTGCCTCACAGGGTGGTTAATGGGAGCACCTGTGAAGACCTCAGTGAGAGGCAAGTGTCAACAGCCCAGGCCTGGGTTCAAAGCCTGGCTCCACCACTCAGTGGCTGTGTGACCTTGGGCAGGTCCCTTAACCTCTCTGAGCCCTGGTTTTCTCCTCTGTAAAATGGTGGGAAAGTCAGTGCCCGGATTAAACGTGATGAGGCACGTGAAGGGCTGGGCCTATGGTTGAGTCAAGGGTTAGTATCATCTTCAACCACCACCATCATTGTTACTGTTATTATTATTAGTCGTCAGGTCAGGGTATAATTTGTCCTCTAGCACTTTCCCACCCTTGCATCTGTAACTTCAGGTTTGAAGGGACCAGAAGAGCCTGGTCTGACCACCCCCATGCCCACCACAAATTACCACCTCCCATGAAGATGTTCTGGTCACCACCACTGGCCCCCCAAAATAAGGTTTGAGGCTCCACTTCCTGAGGTGGCCATGTCCTCCTGGTCCAGCTCTCCCTGTTGGAGAGCCAAGCACCCTGAGCCCCTTCCAGTGGTCCTGGGCGGCTACTCACCAATGGTGGCCGAGATGGCCAGGTAGGAGACAGTGGTCCAGAAAATGGCCATGAGCGTTCCCTTGGGGATGGCTACAGCGGGGTCCTGAGGGGAGGGGGAGGGAGGGAGGTCATCAGGCAGCCTCTGGGCCTCCTTCTAGGCCCTGCCCTTGTCTGAGGCCGGGGGTGGGCCAGCGACCCCCCGACCCGGCCCCCTCTCAGAGCCCCCTTCCCCAGGGCCCAGGGAGGAAGAACCCTTGCGATTGCAACCCACAGAGCAGGATGGGACACAAGCAAGATCATGGGGCTGAGAACAACACATCCAGGCCCTGGGAGCCTGAGGCACGGAGAGAAGCTCCAACCAGCTCCATGCCTGGTTCCCGAGGACACTGGCCAACGCAGGCTCTGGGGGCCCTGAAGTGGGGGGCTCTGGAGTCAGCCTGGTTGTGCTCACTTCCAGGTGACCGGCTGGGTGGTGGGCATGCTCTTCTACGCCTCAGCCCCTCCAGCCTCACAGGGATGCCGGCTAAGTGACTTAATCCACATCAAGCTCCCAGATCAGGGCCCGGTTCACAGGCAGCGCCGGCTGCAAGTTAATCACCATTATGCACCAACTGGTCTGAGGGCTTCCGCAGCAGTTAATATACAGACAAGCCCCAAACTCTCTCCCCTCCGAGGAAAAACTCTCTGCTGGCATTTTCCTAACAGAAACAGCAAATCTTCACACGTGCACATCACGTATTCCACTCTTCCAGACGCTTCCTCGTATATAACTTCCTGTAAAGTGGCCAGAGTGTCCCCACCCAGCTGGTGGGGAAACTGAGGTTAGGAAGCTGCACAGAGGGCCCAGCTGGCTGAGCCAGGGGCGGCTCGTTCCCACCACACCGAGGTCCACAGCCTCAGGCCGCTGGGGGCTGGTCCCGGGTAGAGTAATACAGGCCAGGATTTTTCCAGCAGGTTCCCTGCCAGGTGTAGACCCCAACACCAGGGGCAGGCCACAGGAGTGCTGAGAAGCAAACTTGTACACCTCCCCAGCTTTTCCTGGGCTGTCCTGCACAACTGGCAGGTAGAACCACAAATGACAGAGCTGGAAGGGACCATGACATTGTTACAGGCAGGTCCAAACCAGGCTGGCAATGACCCACTTCTCTGCCTCAAACACTCAGGAGCCTGAGTTGGAACCGACGGTCGCTCAGTGATGAGCAAGCCCCGGCCCCCACCCTGGAGGACCCTGGGCCCCAGGGAAGGAGGTACAGGCAGGATCCTGGTGACATGGGGCAGATGGCCCCTGTCATGGGGCAGACTGGAGTGTGCTGGAGAACAAGGTGGGGGGAGGCAGAGCAACACTGCAGGAACCACGGAAGGCCTCATGGCAGAGGGGACGACTGGGGTGGCTCTGAAGGCCAGGGCTGGGAGGAAGGGAGCGGTAGGGCAGAGCCAAGTGGAAGCAGAGGTGCAGAGCTGGAGGGGGGCCAGGGGTTCTGGAGCTTCCAGGTCTGCTGAGGTCTCTCCTGGGGGGGCCCTGCCAGCCCTGCTCTGAGTACCAGGATGGCCCGACCAGGTCAAGCACGCAGAGTCCCTGGTCCCTAGGCCAGCAGGCTGGCTCAAACTCCCATCCCACCTCTAGTGGGTTGGATGGTGTCTCCAAAAATTCGTGTTCACCCAGAACCTCAGAATATGACCTTATTTGGAAATAGGGTCTTTGCAAAATGTAATTAGTTAAGCTGGGGTCCTACCCGGTTAGGCGGGCCGTAAATCCCGTGACGAGTGTTCCTCTTCTCTCAGACACACAGAGGGAAGGAGGCCATGGGAAGACAGTGGCAGAGAACTGCAGAGACGCAGCTCCAAGCCAAGGAAGGCTAAAGACTGTCGGAGCTGCCAGAAGCTGAGAGAGGAGAGGAAGGATTCTCCCCGAGAGCCTTTACAGGGAGCATGGCCCTTGGCACATTTGTTTTGTTGGACTTTGGCTTCCAGAACTGTGCAAGAATAAATGTCTGTTGTTTTAAGCCACAGTGCTTGCGGTCGTTTGTTACAGTGGCCCCTGGGACTACTGTGGCTACTCCAGGCCTCCATCCAGCCCCTACATCTTGGCCTGAAATCTCTGCGCCTGGCTCACAAGTCAGACACGTCTGGGTCCACATCCCAGCATCTGCCCCCGGCTGTGTGAGCTGGGACAAACCCTTTAACCTCTCTGAACCTCAGTGATGCCCCCAACCCCAATCTGTGAGATGAGAATCAACGTAGCACACAGCCAGCACCCATAAATGTGAGCAGTTAGGAGCGGAGGCTGTGTCGTGCTCAGGGATGCACCCTGGGGCCACACCAGGCGCGGCACAGACCCCACATCAGTCACTAGGAAGTCCCTTGTCTCTGAGCCTCAGCCTCCCCATCAGAAAATTAAGCTAGTAAAGCTTTTCTTGGCCATAGCCCAGGGTGATGGTCACGAGACTGCTCTGTGAGAGCTAAGGGGCTGGGGAACGTCACATCCTACTGACTTAGGGGTGGATTGTCTGTCCTTCTCACCAGAATGTCAGCTGCATAAGGGCAGGAATTTGTGTCTTTGTTCTTTGTTTACTGCTGTATCCACAAGACACTGGCACAAAGCAGATGCTCAGAAAATATTCTTGAATGATTAGTTTATGATGAAGTTGAGGCCTCTTTGCTCTAGAAACTTGCCCTCCAGCCCCTCTGCTGTGTGGCCCTGGGCAACGCCCAGCCCTCTCTGAGCTTGGTTTGCTCCTCTCTGAAGTGGGGGTGACGAGCCCTCACAGCTGCCCCCCACCAGGATCATGTTTGGAAAGAATGAGGCCCCCTGCAGCCACATGGGAAAAATGACCATGACCTTGACAACCAGCCCTTCGTACTTCCTTCGTGCTGGGCACTTTTCCAAGTGCTTCACATAAATCAGCACGTGGAATCCTTATTCCCTGCTCTGGGAAGCAGGAGGGGGTGCTATGAGTCCTATCTTATAGTTGGCAAAGCTGAAGCCCAGAGAGATTTTAAGGGACTTGCATAAAGTCTCCGTGAATGGGAGCTGCTCTTCTGCTGAGGACACACTGTCTCGCAGAATGGGCAGAGGGCTGGACCCGAGAGAGAAGGGCCCCTTGAGGGCTTGAGGGCATTCAGGACAGAGCAAAGGTGTACCCCTACCCCCCAGCCCCCAGCTCTGGGACAGCTGCCTAGCCCTGACACCTGCACACCGTGCTGGTTGGTAACCTGAGAGGCTGGACGAAGCGTCTGGATAAATCGCTAGGCTACGATGGTCTGTAAAAGGGCTGGCAGGAGAACCGGGCTGTCTGAGCACAAGACTGACCTCTGCAGGGACCTCCCGGCAGGCAGGCAGAACAGGCCTCTGCTGGCCGCTCCCCAGAGAAGGGAGAGGAGCTGGGCAAACATGGCCACTCTGCGATTTCCAGGCCATGCTGTGCGCCACCTGGGCACCCCCAATTAGAGCCAGGCCGGGTGGGGACTGTCTCCAAAGCACCGTTCCTCATTCATTTAAGAAAATGCATCAAGGAGCACCTTTCAGGTGGGACCAGAAGCTGGAGGGAAGTGTTCTCAGCACTGAGCCGGGTTCTCGCCATTCACCCCACTTGCACCCCATCTATCTCCTTGATCCTGCCTCTGCAAAGACACCACCGGCCCCTTCGCTCCAGCCCCATCTCCATCCAGAAGTTTTGCTGGAGCCTCTGCTGACATCCGCCTCTCCTTCTTCCCCACTTCGTACTTCTGCTCTAAATCTCCCAGTCAATACATTTCACCATTATTCACTCAACAAACGTGTACTGAGCACCTAGTATGTGTCTGACTCTTAGCTGGGAATGGGGACATAGAGGTAGGCCTCAGTTCTCCAGACAAAGAGAACTGGAAGGGGGAAGAGACACATAAATGGCCTGACATCATTCGGCCAGGGGAGCCAGGACTCTGACAGAGGGCTGGGAGAGATTTAAAGATGGAGGTGTTATTTGGAAGAGGAACAGAACTTCTCAAGGTGAAGAAACAAGGGTCAGACACCCCAGGGAGAAAGCACAGCAGAGACAAAGACACAGAGGAGGGACAGGCAGCACAGGGAAAGCCGCTGGTCCACAGGGCTGGGGCAGGGGGCGCGGGAATGACAACTGCGGGCCGGAGCCCCAAACTCTGAGCAGAGGACATGGCCCGCATCAAGACAGCGGGAGCCCGGAGAGGATCCCAGCCCGGTAAAGATGTGCGTGAACCAGTCTGGGCTTTGGCAGGTCGAGCTGGCTCAGTCTTCCCCCTTAGGCTGAGAGTCCCGGGAACTAGGGAGGAGGTCCGCCCGTTTTAGGGTGGTCCTCTAGGCCTAGAGTAGAGCTGGTGTCAATCAACAACCTCGGAATTGAGTGGGGTGAATGGAGTCGGTTTGGGTTGGCTGCAATTGAGTTGAGTTGGACTGGACTGGATTTTAGAAGCTCTGGCCCCACTGTCTCAGGGCCCAGCTCAGTGCCCAGTGGGAGATCCTGGTAGGACAGGGCCAGGAGGCAGGAGGGTGGGCATCCTGCTCACCTTGAGGTCCCCGGAGATGTTGGCCCCTGCCAGGATGCCTGTGGCCGAGGGGAAGAAGATGGAGAACATCCCGAAGAAGCTGCCATCCACGCCCCGCCAGTCGGGCACCAAGTTCTGGACAAAAATGTCCGCTGGGAAGACCAAAGGCTGAATCAGGGCCACGCAGAAGGCTGGACCCAGCCAGGCAGGCAGGAGGCTCCTCCTCTCTGGCAGCTTCCAGTCCTGGGAGTTGGGGGTCCGATCCTGCCGGTGCCCACAGAATGGGCCAGATGGGTGGGCAGATTGTACCTGTCCGCAGAGCCATGGGCGGGGCCCCCAACCTGCACGTACCCCGGTAGCTGAAGAAGCCTTTGGAGGCCTTGTCCTCAGATGGGGGAATCAGCGTCCCCACCAGGTAGTTGGCAAAGGAAACCATGATGACAAGGAAGAAGAGCACCTGGGCCTGGGTGTAAAGACCCTAGAGGTCAGATGGCCTGGCCCCGCCTGCTCAGGGAGCCCCAGCAGGACAGAACCTGCCCAGAGTCCCTCCCTCCCCCATTCATTCATTCATTCATTCATCCGCCACCCATTATGCTGCAGGCCCTGTTCTAGGAGTAGGCGATATAGCAAGGCTCTTGTCTTGCTGATAAATACGGAACACAACTCTAGAGTAAGAACAAGGGTGTGTTGGGGACTGTGTGGGGGAAACGTTAGCAGAGTGGTCTAGGACGGTGTCTTCAAGGGTCCTAAAGGAGGTGGAGGAGTGAGCTGCAGAATGATCAGGGGCACAAGCTGGGGACAGCGAGGAAGGAGGCTGGCGGAGCTGGAGGCCAGAGTGAGGGGGAGAGAGGAGAGGCGGGGGTGGGGGGCAGGGGCCAGATCTGCCAAATCTGCCTGCTGATGCCCCATATTTCTTCTGCCCTCCTTCCATAGTGCTAAGCCTCTGAATTTTGGCTGGATACGGGGTCACATGAGGACACATTTCCCTACCCTGCCTGCCCCTTAGGTGTGGCCATGAGACCAAGTTCGGGCTGATGGGATGGATGCAGAGGGATATGTGCAACTTCCAGGCAGGGCCCGAAAAGGACAAGAAAAAGGCCCTCTCCCCTCCCTGCTGACTGGACTGTGGCCACTGTGGAGCAGGTGCATGAAGGCCATAGGATGGAGTGGTCTGGGTGCCCGAGCCCCGGGAGCCACACACACCTGGACTGTTACAGGAGAGGGGTCCTGTTCTTTAGGGTCTCTCTGTCACAGCCACAGAACAAGAAGCCTCGTTAATACACCGAGAAGAGGCAGAACCAGGCCTGGGACCCAGGCCTTACGACTCCCGCTTCTCCACCTGATCACTCCCAACCTCCCCTCCTCACCTTGGCCTCCCACTCCATGCCAGCCAGGGAGACGGCCAGCAGCACAGTGACGGTGACCACGCCGATGATGCGGATGTCATTGATGGGGTCCACGATGGGTGTGCCATTCTCCTGGGGAGGGGGACAGGCCAGGCTGCACGTTGCCCTCTGAACATCCCCCCCAGACTCCTCCACCTTGATTCACCTCAAGTATGGGTGTCCTCTCACGGCTAAACAGAAACACAACCCCCTTCCCTGCCAACAGAGCCCCTAGAGTGGCTGCCATGCCAGCCTGGACAGTTCGGCTCTAAAGGCAACACGCAGCCCTGAAGGGGACTTCTGGGAATGGTCTTTATTTGAGAAGATCATCATGGTCACCCACAGCGGTCAGACTGTGGCCGTGGCCCCTGAAGGGTAAAATCGGGCAGAGGGGCAGGAAGGCCTGGCCCAGATGGGGTCGGGGAGAGCAAGGGAGGCTGCCCCGGTTTCCCTCTGGCTTCACCTGGAGCAGGTCCCGCACGGTCTCTGCGAAGCCCACGGTATGCATGGCCACACCCACGGCGTTGGCAAAAGCAAAAATGAGGCCAATGGAGCCCCCTAGCTCTGGGCCAAGACTCCGGGAGATGAGGAAGTAGGTGCCACCTATTGGGGACAGAGCCAGGAGCCATGAAACCAGCTGGCTGGGGTGGGCTTGGGGCAGGCAGAAGCTGAGGCTGGGAGAGGGTAACCATGGGATCCCCCCCTCCCCTGGCCCACAGCACAGGGTATAACTGAGGCCATCCGTGGGGGACCCAAAGCCTTCACCTGGAAGCAGAGGGGGCAGCCTGGGGCATCCTCATTTTGGTGGGGATGGGGGGGTGGGGAGTGGCTCAGAGACCCATTCCCAGGGTAAAGACTGGGGAGCAACCGGAAGAGGAGGGCCTTGGGGGTGGGGTGGGGCCCACCTGACTTGACCTTGCCGTTGGTGGAGATGGCCGAGATGGAGAGGCCGGTGATGGAGGTCACGGTGACCGAGAGTAGGATGATGATCCAGGTCAGGACTGTGCGGGTGGGTGGGGATGTGATCACCACAAAACTCAGCAGGGGCATTTCCCAGGTGAGGAGCCATGTGAGGAACCTGAGTCAGCCGACTGGTTCACCATGCCACCTAAGTCACCTCCCTTCTCTGAGCCTTGGTTTTCTCATCTGAAAAATGGGTCTCTGTCTCCCTCCTGGTATATTGTGAACAGCCAGAGAGCTGATGAGCCACTATATAAAGGCTCATTTGTTATGGAAGGGAAGGCACCCTCCTTTAGTAATAAAAAATAATCACCACTTGAACACCTTTGGGTGCTAAATCCTATGCTGTTTTACATGCATCATAGAAACCCCACAATAGGTCTGGGGGTGAGGGACAGTTATCACCCCCTTTTTACTGATGAGGAAACCGAGGCTCAGAGAAGTTAAGAAACTTGTCCAAGTTCACACGCATCAGAGCTAGCTTCTGAACCTTGGTGTCTGTCCAGAGCACAGGTTTTTAACCTGGATGCTGTGCAGTAGAGATTGACTCCAAGAGGTTAAGTGACCTACTGAGGGCAAAGAGACCCAGGGAGAGTCCTCAGGCCTGATAACTCCATGTCCAGACTCCTCTGCCACACTTCCCTGACCTCTGTCACTGCAGGAGCCCATGGTCTCTGCGGGCCAAGTTCAGGACTGAGGCCTGGGAGGATCAGATCTCAGGCACACCCTCCTCCTTACCCCTAGAGATGGCACTCACCAATGCCTGCCTGGCCTGTAATCCAGGGGAGCCGTAGGTAGAGGATCACGCCCCAGATATTGAGCATGCAACGGATCTGGGAAGAGAGAGGGGTTGGAGGCCACCTGGGTGGGCCGACACCCCAAAGCCTAACACACAAGTCCCTGTCCCCAGTCATGGCATGGCATTGGGCACTTTGGCCTAGGGGACACCTGGCTCCTTTCTTGGCTCTGCTCACTTCACTGGGTTCCCACTTCAATGCCCCTCTAGTTCTGTGGGGCAGGGAGGGGAGGGGTACCCAGAGATTCACCTGCCCCTCCCACCCGCTTTTCTGCCCTTCCACTGGGGTCTGAGGATGGGCTGCAAGCATTATCACCTCTCACCCGGCCCCAAGCCCAGGATCCTATGTCTGCCAGCCCCAACCATGGCCCCAGTGGCCGGGTGTCGGCCCAGGGCCTGGCATCTAGGAGGAGCTCAGCAAATAGCAGCTGAGCCAATGCCCAACATGCAAGCAGAAACAGCGCTCGGGTTGCTGTGAGTTCAGCTTCCAAATTTAAAGCAAAGCCAGAGGCTACAGCTGAGACTGAATTCCAGGGAGGTGCGGGTGCTGATGTGGTCTCTGGCCCCAGCCAAGTTCTTGGGGTGGGGCAGGAGCATGTGGTATTTACAAGGTGGGGAGACTTCTAAGGCCCTCTGTGTGCTCCGAGACACTGAATGGGGCCATGCCAGGCTCTGGCCACCACAGCCCGGGAGGAAGATCCATACTCCATAAACGAGCTGCTAGGGCGGAGGGGAGCTCACAGTTCAGATGGAGAAACAGAGGCACAGACAGCAGGCATTTGGCAGAGTAAGGTCAGAACCCAGGCCTCCCTCCACTGCACCTCCCCTCTCCCCCCGCCACCCTCCCAGAGCAGGACCAAAGCCTTCTTCTAAATCTCATGTGATCCCCTCTGAAAAGTCCCACAATGCCTTCCAAAGCCAAATTCATTTGATTTTTTTTGTTGTTGTTTGAAGACTCACTGGTGCTCTACACTACAGGAAACCTCCCCCTTTCCCATCACCGAGAATGACGAAAACAGGCTCATGGATTTGTGTGTTTAGGGCTGCCCCCTGGTGGCTGTGGGTGAGGACAATTTCTTCTAATAATCCCAAGGTAGGCATTGATCCAAGCTGTTCACGTCTATTAACTCATAATGCTCATCTTTCCACAGGTGAAGAAACTGAGGCACAGACAGGTTAAATAACTTGTTCAATGCCACAGGACACGTGAGTATCCAGAGATCTTTCCCAGGGTGAGGTATCAACCTGGGGAGCAAATGGGGTTTGAGAAGCACAAAACCAGGGAAAACTGGAAGTCACTCTGCCCATGGGGAAACTGAGGCCCAGGCTGGGCCTTGGGTCTACCCTGGCCACTAAGACCTGAGAGTCAGCTGCACCTGTCTCCCCATTTCCATTCCCGGGCATCCCATCCTCACCCTACTCACCATCACCCCCTTGACCCAGCCAAAGCGCACAGGCTCCCCGGGGTTCTTCTCACTGTTGGTGCCTGGCTCATCTTCCACCAGCCCGTCGGTCATTTCATGGCTGGGCCGGCTGTCAAAGGCCAGGGCATGCAGGTGGCTGCCTTCCTGCGGGGAGCCCAGAGGCCACAGGTCATGCAGGCAGGGGTCATGACCATCCATCTCCCCGTCTTCCACCCTTCAGAGTCCAGCCTCCCCCGCAACAAACCCGGTAAGCCTCCCCTCCGCTGCAGACCTTCCGCATTCCCACCTCCCCATCTCTTTCAGGTGTGTGTAGCCTCTGTTTGTGTACTTCCACTGACGGGGAGCTCATTACCACCCTGGGAGGCCAAGATTGTTCGATTGGGTGGTCAACGACAGGACAGTAAACATTACTGCATGTGTCCGGAGGTTTATAGCTTCCATGCCTGCCTTTCATTCAGGCCTCTCAACCCACGAAGAAGACACTCATGTGTCCCCGTGGCACAGGTGACAGGGCCAAGATTCAGAGAAATGAGGTTCCTGGGTCAAGGTCGCACGGCAGGGAAGTGGCCAGTCTTTGAGCTGGTGCTTACCTTGAGGAAGGAATGCAGATCAGCCAGCGTGGGCCGGACCTTTCGGGGCTCCCCGGGCAGGGCGCTGTTGGCATAGTGCTCATAGGCTGGCACGACGTCGACAGTGTTGTAGCCGAAGGTGCGCATGTAGAAGGTGCTGCCGTGGCTCAGGTGACTGCTGTCGTAGGCAGTGGGCGGTGGGGGCTCCTCGCCCCCCAGCAGCGTGCTGATGGTGAAGCGCCCGCTGCACAGCGCGGGGTCCCCTGGCATCTCTGACGCCGGCAGCTCCGCCATTGCGGCTCTGGGTGGCAGGGGAGGGGGCCAGGGTCAGCGGCGACATGCTGGGGGGCTTTATAGGCCGGGCCCACAGCAGGGAGGAGGCAGGGAGTTTGGTCCAAACCGCCCTCGGCTGGCGACCAGGGTCCCCGGACAGGGTGGGAGGCAGAGCACGTGCCCACGCTGTCCTGCCCACCATTTGATCGCTGAGATAGCAGCCCTGCCTGGGACCAGGAGGGCTGGGCTGAGCCAGCGCCAGACACAGGGCGGGAAACAGGGAAACACGCCCAGCCCTGGGTCCCCGGGAGGTTCTTCTGAGTCCGAGAGCAGAGGATATCTGCAGGACCCGAGGAAGGAGTACTCGCCAGAGGGGACACTTCGGAGCCCTATGAGGGACCCTGGAGACAGCCTAGGCAGGTTCAAAAACCTCTCATTTTTGTACATGGTATTTAGTTTTATTTTTTAGGTATTTGTGGCTAGATGAATGGTATCGCATTTAAAAAGATACACACGTATATATAAAAGGTTAGTTTTCTCTTACTTAGACCTCTGACTCCTGGTTGTGCATGTCCTTCCAAAGACATCTCGGAGTGTAGAAACCATTATGAGCAAGCACCCCCAAACCAGAGTTCAGCATGTGCCAGGTGTGCTCTGTCGCCCCCCGTGGACTGACAAGTCCCTGGGGCTTGTGGCTGGTCAGTGGCCCGCAGGGTAACCGGGTACCCAGCCCTCACACTCACTGCAGCCCATTCTGGGGTGGATGCCTGATGTGCCACCAGAGGGAAGGCGAGCTTGCGCTCATGATGCTGCCGAGTGAGTAGGGAAAAGGGACATGGAAATGGACCAGCCCAGCTGTGGAGTGAGGGCAGCAAGGAGAGAGATGCTCCTAGAAGAGGGTCAGGGTGGGGACAGCAGGGGTGGGACAGACCCCTGACCAAGAGTCTTGGAGGATGAGTTGCTTCTCCGGAGGCCGGGGATGGATGGAGGCCATTGCCAGCTCCAGGCTTCTGAGTTTGCCAGCCATCCTCAGGAGGGACACGGAGGGACACATTTTCTCTCCCTCCTTGCCCCGCCTCTCAGACTTGGGCTCTCTGAGAGGCCTGGAGTTCTCTGGACTCCATGACCTCCAAAAGCACATCAGTCCTAGTTGACTGAGAACTAGGGGCCCAGGACAGGTGTGCCCAACTGTAGGGCCAGGCAGAAGGGGGCAGGTAGAAATGCTTGGACTGTGTTGGAGTAGCAAACAGTGTGAGGGAGTCACGCTCCAAGATAAGGGTTCTTATGGAGCCCCACACAAGCGTGGACAAGTTTTTATACCTAAGTGCATTTATCTGGGAAGGGGCACATAGATTTTGCCCAACTTGCTAGAAGGCGAGCCCACGGGAGCAGGAATCTGGGCCTTTCTTGTTCACTGATAATCCCAAGCAACCGGAACAGCACAGAGTAGGTACTCAATAAACGTTTGTTGAATGAATATTGAAGGGGAGCCAGAAGCAAAGAGGGCAAAGAGCAGCTGCCATAGAAACCCTTGGCTGACAGTATTACCCCAAGTCAGGGCTGCAAGGGGCAGCTCCTGGGCCTTCAACCAGCTCAGCCAGACATGGAGGGGAGCCAGGGATGACAGGTCCTTGATGACAAACCCAAAAGGTTATGATCACTGTGTAGCTTTTTGCAAAGTTTATAAATTCTTCATATGAGCTAATTTTTTAAAAGACTCTTCTCGGGGCTCCTCTTAATGAGCCCCAGGCTTGCCTACCTCCTTATGAGGATCTCTAGCCCCCACTCAGAGAGGCTTCTGGAGAAGTGTGTCCGCACCCCCACACCGGCCAGTGGGCCGAGGGCTAGGGGGTGGGGACTCCAGGTCAGTTTTCCACCTTCGCTGCAGCCCGCACTCGGGCCAGGTCAGAGAGAGGCCAGCGGGTTACTCATTCCCTCGCACGGCGCCTCTGGGCAGATCTTATCATTCTCTCACCTTTCAGCTGCCACTTGACTGGTAAAAGTCGCAGTGGCCCAACACCCCCTTCCACCAATCCTACACACCCTGTCCCTGGAGCAACTGTGGAAATTTCCTGATTAACATCTCAGGAGAGGATAGGGCGAGAAGGGGCCAGGGCTGGTTTCCAGCAGCACCGAGGCCACAGACAGAGAGAGGGGCCGCAGATTTGCCGGGTGACCTTGGGCAAGTCACTTCTTCCTACCTCCATGAAACCCAGGCCCAGGTCAGCTCCAAGGTCCTTTCCAGCCCCAGAGGGAGAATATCTGCTGCTTTAAGAAAGCTTTCCTGCCCCTTCATCTCTCTGGGGTGAGGGGAGTTAAACAGGACCCCTTGAAGGGCTTAGCAATGTAGAGCTGAAGAGACTGTCAGAATACCTTGCCCCAAAGCACAGAGCCCCAGGAAAGGGGATTCTTACACATGGATGGCATGTCATCCAATCGGAGACACTCTTCCAGGTGGGGGACAGAGTGCTGGCTCAGACACCATACCCATCTTACAGGACTTCAGCTTCCACAAGGCTCCCCGAGCCCTGCGGGTCTGGGAGCCAGGACTCAGAATCCAATGGACCCCGAACAAAACCCTGAGATTGAGTCTCAAGCTCACATCTCAGGCTTCGGTTTCCATGTGACTTCGAACAAGTCACCTGCCTGGGATGAGCCTTAGCAGCAGAATGGGATCAACAGCTGCACTGGTGTCTGGTATGACCCACCTGGCCAGTGTCAGCCCCCAGCTGAGAGCCTTAGGGCTCCTTGAGTCTCCCGCTTCTCAGGGGGAAGGAGAACAGAGGCAGGAAAAGGAACTAAGGACTCAGTGGTCAGGAAACTCCCTAGAAGTAAAAACCCCTGACACAGGGCTGAAATGGTCAGGACGGGGGGCGGCAGGAGGGTTCTGCTGCAACCTCTGGATCTCAGAGCCTCCTGTCTTCATGGGCACAGAGCCACTTAAGCATTTATTGGGCTCCTTCTGTGTACCAGCACTGGAATTCACAGCCTCACCTAGCAGACAGGCCAGCAAGGTGATCGTGGCAACTGGCTGGGGGTGGGGTGGGGGGTGGGGGTGCTGCCCGGGAGAGGGAGGGGATTCTGGGGCATGGGGTCAGTGCAAGGGAAGGTATGGCCGGGTCTGGAGCACACAATGCCATGGGGATCAGGGGAGGAGGGAAGAAAGGGGGGAAATATGAGGTGTTTCTTCATTCACACACATTTATTGAGTGCCTACTGCATACCATGCCCTGTGCTAGGCAAGGGAGGCACCATGGAGAATAAGACAAAGACCCTGCCCTCCTGGAGCTCACATTCTAGTGGGGAGACAGACAGTAAATAAACAAACAATCCTTATAACACATTTAGTGATAAGTGCTATTAAGAAAACAAAGCTTTAAAAAAAAAAAAGTTAGGAGGGCCATTTAGGCCTCTCTGAGAATGAGGAATTTGAGCGAAGCTCTAATACGTGAGCAGGTATGAGTTCAGGACTTCCAGACTGAGGGGAGAGCATATGCAAAGGCCCTGGGATCAGAGTGCAGTTGGAGCAAGGAGGCCAGTATGGTGGAGCAGAGGGACCAAGGAGACGGGGTTTGAGACATGAAAGGGGGAACATGGGGCCTTGGAAACTAGGGTCAGAAGTTCCACTATGTGGTGGTCAGATTTCTATTTGTCAAAGATCACTTTGGCTGTTGTGCAGAGGATGGACTGAGGGAGGCAAGGCAAGGCAAGGCTAGTCAGGGGCCACCACAGGCGCCCTGTGGTGGTGGCCAGGCCGGGGGGAGCGGCTGTGGGTGGCGGGGTAGTGAGGGGCGTTGGGAGTTGAGGTATATTGTGAAGGCAGAGCTGACAGAGCTGACAGAACCAGCACATGGATTCGCATAGGGCAGGCATTTGACAGAAGAAGGGGCCGTGTGGGGGAAACGGCAGCATCATTCCTGAGTGGGGAAACCTGGTAAGGCCAGGGTAAGGAGCCTGGCTTTTGTCCTGGAGTAGCCGATGCCATCTATTTCTGGAAAGCTGCGGGGGAGCAGCAGTTGTGGTGTGAGCCTTGCAAGGCAGAAAGAACAGGGCCAGGGAGGGCCAGGAGGGGCTCTGGCAAAAGCCAAGCAGGAACAGACAACAGCCCAGCTAGGAGCCCCAGGCTCACCCCTGACTGCATCACACGGGAACCCCTAACGAATGCTGGCTCTCTGGCCCCACCCTGGAGATCCCAGGGGCCTGGGGCAGAGGAGAGGGGGTGAGTGGCTGGCCTCAGTGTTTTTGGAAGGCTCCCCAAGTGATCCTGAGGGGCAGGCTGACTGAGACGCAGGGAACCAAAGAGAACACTCTTTCACACACAGACTGCCCCCCTCCCCACCTCAGCCCATCTCCACGTCCGTGGCCGCCCGGTCCCACGAGGCTCTCCTGGAGAGGATGAGTATGATGCAACCCTGGTGTCGTGAAATAGCCGGGTAAGAGGATGCGCTGCTCGTCGGCCTGATTCACAACACCAGCTGCAGCAACATACCAGAAGTCCGCTGGCTTCCTCCTCTGGATGTGGCTCCAGCCCCGCGCAAACATCCTCCCCGACGGATGGCTGCCCCCGGGGGCCAAGGCAGTGCCAGGGCCTAGAGCTGTGAACGAGGGAGGCAGGGTCCCTGCCCGCGGCGGGGCTCACAGACTTGATGGCAGTGGGGAAGGGGGTGGTGCACACACATACCCTGTCCAGTGCCGGGGGTGGGGCTGGGAGCAGAACAACTATGGTGGAGGGGGGCCCAGGCCCTGGGAAGCCAGAGGCTGGACCGCAACCCCTCCAGCAGCCAGGCCCAAGAAACAGATTTCTCCCCAGCCTACAGACCACGCAAGTGTGCCCGTGGTAGTCCTGGTCCTTCTACCAGACAACGTTCTAGCAGCTAGACACTGAAGTACCATGAGGCTGCTGGCCCCCAAAGCAAGAAAGGGAAACATGCTTGATGAGACATTTCCATTGTTAAAGGAGGGACTCCTGTTCTTTTCCTTCATGGTCAGACTTGCGCTTTTTTTTTTTTTTTTTTTTAACC